ACTCGCTGTATCTGTCCTTGCTTTAGTAGTTTCAGAATGGATTATTTAGTATTCTTTGGTAAAAATCAAAACATGAAGACTACTTGGGAGCTGCCACTGCACACCACCATAACATCCTATTGCATCTTCATTCTTTCATTGCTCATACTTGCTAAAATGCCCTGGCTTCTGGCTTATTTCCAGGTGCGGTTCAAGGTGCTGATTTTGACCAAAAAAACCTCTTAGCAGTCTGGTTTCTGGGGATTTGCTATTAAAAAATTCTGTTAAATGGGAAGATCTTGAAAGGAATGTCTTTTAAGTGAAAAGCCCTCAACTTATAACTTGATTCTCCTGAGCATTTATTCACTTACTTGGAATATTTAATTTGTCATTTGTTTGTCAGGCTTTCTCATGGCTGCTGGACTAAAGAAGAGTTGTTTTACATCTCACTGGATAGAAAGGATAGGCGATCTAATGTTTTGAATGCATTTTTTAATTGTTCCTGCATACACTCATATCTTAGGATGAAAAGCCACTATATAGCGAAATGCAGGAGTTAAATAAAAAATTAAACCAGAAAGCATGGTGAAGCATGTCTGAAATATATCCGGGATAATCAAAGTTTTATTTGCAAGAAAAACACTGGGATGAGTGCACACACAGAAGGATATAATGATCTATGTTTATTGTCAGCTTATGTTAAAGTGTGGGAGAAATACCACTGGGATCTTTTGGTCTGTGATACTGAAAAGGAGTAAGAGATACTTTATTTGTATATTTTGGACAGCCTATAATGATGATGATGGTGATGGTGATGATGATGATAAAAGAAAACAGCAAGGCAGCACTGACAATATGACAGAGGAGGAAAGGGTAGGCTCTTACTCAAGGTTCATATTACTAAGAAACAACTGGAGAGTAATAGAAGTCTGTTCAAGAGCTTTCTGTCTTGAAATCTAAAATGCCTGTTTTTAAATCTCTTCTTAGAAAACTTCATTGTACTCGGAACTACATCCATCTGAACCTGTTCCTCTCTTTCATTCTAAGAGCAATCTCTGTTTTAGTCAAGGATGATATTCTCTATTCCAGCTCCAACACAGCTCACTGTCCAGAGGATCAAACCTCATGGGTAATAAATCTCATTTTCTACCTGGTATAATACTGTTGTGTCACTAAATTTTCCTCCCAATCCTTTTAAATATTTAGGAATACCAAACTGTCAGTGTAGACAATTCTGCAAAATGATCTATTAGAAGTAGTCAGAGAAAGAAGGTTGCAGCACAAGTAAGAGAAGTTAATGTCGTTTTGCATGTCCATGAAGGGACAACATGTCATCTGCCGAAACAAATAATGACCAACTATAGCTCAGAATAAATATGGCCACTGCATTAATCAGCTCGGAGAGTTTAAGACAAACAGGAGTGCCATCAGTTGGGAATGATTAAAGGCAGCTCGTCTGGAAGTGTTCCAGCAGCTTTATCAGGGGTCCAGGAATTGGACAGGTATCAATGGAGGGAGAGAAATGAGTCAGGGAATTAAATATTTGCAGGAGTTGTCTTTATTAACTCTGTACTTTCTGGCTATGACAGAAGTGTTGTCATCTGCATTCTTGGCAAGCTAATACGTTTACTGCATTTTCATGCACAGGGGTTAAAAAAATCTCAAGTCTTGCTGTTAAAAGACTGACCATTATATGATATTCCCCATTCTCTGCCTCTGTTGTTTCAGGCAAAAGTGTTGCCGAAGAACCCTACAAATATTGCTGAATACCTTCTGAATTTAATTTACTACAGTTTAAGCTTGTGAGAAAAAAATGGAAGGAAGATATTTTTATATTGATGAAGCCATATTGTCCCAAATCATAAAGTTCTTAGCAGTGACTACCAAGCTGTATGTATGAATTCGTAATCTGGGATATTTCTAATGAACACAAATAGGCTCTGAGTTAGTGGACCCAAAGCAGGCAAAGTAGTTAGTAGGCAGACTGCCAGGGGTAATCAAAAGTTCTTAGGTCCTTGAAAGATTAATCAATGGACTGTCAAAATGCTACTTGATTTCTGCAATTTCTTTTATTCTTCAGTTATTCTTGGCTGCAAAGCCTCATGCGTTCCTATTTTAATATGTCCAGTTTTGTGAACTGTGGAGTAATTTCTGTTGCATTATATGTGGGATGATCTGACACTAGCTTGGCAAGGCTGTTTTGTCTTGCATTGGCTGGATGCTACCTTTCTTACGTACCTGCATGCGGGGTTTACCCCTTTTGTCACATGTGTGTGATGTTCCACAGTTCTGCTGCATGCACAGACATCTAAAAGCACACAATTCAAAATGCAGTGTAACTAGATCCTGGATCTGAATGACACAGAGCCATAATTTTGGCTAACTCTTTACTGACAGATACTTTCGCTGTTCAGCATCTGGAAATACACCTGATACAAGATTAGCTGCAGGAGGAAGGGAAAATATTTTGATGCAGGGTTCTGGTATGTAAATCAAGAATATAAGACAGGGGAGTACTGGATTTTAAAAGAGATTACAAAAATTCTAGACTTTGACTGCTAATCTGGTTGTAAGTAGTCATAAGCATTTCACTTGCAAATTTCAACTTGCATTTTGAAATGTTTAGTTTTCTCCATGTTAAATTTTCTGGCCCATTACTAGTCTGCAATGGGTATTCCGTCAGTGGATACAAAGTCCAGAGGTAAGATTAGTCTTACCAAACAAGATGGCTGAACTAAGCTGTTTGAATCATAGAATCATAGGATAGTTTGGG